ACTCCCTACGTTTACGACTTAAAGTTACCTTGCCTTAATTCTCTGTTCGCTCTGGTTATCATCACCACAGTGAGTACACATGGCCCCAGCACAACTACAGTATGCGCCACATAAGTCCGCTATTGTTAGTTCTAATCCAATAACCTAAAGACATCTCTGAGCAATCCCAAGTCTACTTTGGTATTACGTTTCTCGTACTTACTGTGATTAGTTCAGGAAGCTCGCGATAGTTTTACTTGCTACAAATCAATCTCCTGATTGAATTGTGTAACCGCGCTGTACACACACGAGCTTGCACATAAAGGCCGCCGTACACTAGCCGATTTTTTGTCGGCCGACAAAAAATCTTGACTTTTCGGCTAGTGTGTGCGGTGAATTCGGACAAGTCTGCGAAAAGATCGGGGCTTGTTGGGCGATATCTGACAGTGCTAGATATCAAAACGACTTGCCGGGCCTTGTCGGCTAGTGTGCGGTGCACCAAGACAATTTGTCGGGGCTCGCGCGCGCCTCAACCAATTAGTAAATGTCGTGGGAGTCACGTCAGTGGAATAGGCGCCATCTCGATTTTGGATGACTCGGCCCCAAGCCTCAACGCGGTTAGTCGCGACAAAAAATCGGCTAGTGTTCGGCAAGCTGATACCCTGACAAATTAACCCGACTTGACCCCGACAAAACAATCTGCAGTTCTACGACAAAAAAGTCGGCTAATGTGCGGCAGCCTTAACTTTTCTCGTTGTTCTACCTACCATTAGTGCCCAGACTCCATTTAGTCGCAGCGCAGTTTCCTGGCGCCTAGTCAAATTTGAGAGCAAGTTCACAGCACCTGCTTCTAGTATGGGCTAAAACAGCAAAAGCAAATGAAATTAAATATTACTAAACGCCAGACAAATCTTACTTCTTATAAATGATCTCAAACGTTTTACTCTGTCTGACTTGAAAAACAGTTCTAAACACAAATTTAACAAACAAGTGCGAGTTGAGCTATTTGCTGACGTGAATTTTTCATAAGGTTAACAGGACGAAACACGCAGGAACTGGAAGCGAGAGGAATCTCTTAGGGAACGAAACGCGCGCAGGAAGACGACAGCCTAATTTTTCAAGAAACGAGACAAGACGCGTGAGAAAATGGCAGTGTATTGCACATCTTCCTGTACAAAGCAGGCAAGTGAATGACATTATCATCTTAGGAAGTAAGTTGAGCTCAAACATCAATGGAACATGATGATTTCGGCGGGGAGGAGAAGGAAATACGATCTCAGAGAACCTGGATTTTTAAATTGTCCTAGCACGTTGTGGCGCCTACTGCACAAAGTATCTTATTTATTTGCGCTCTCGCCATAACCGCTACTGCCTCTGTTACCGAGGCTCCTCAATCTACCCCTGTGAAGCAGTCGGGATAATTTGAAACCCATCTTAGCCGGGGTTTACTGCAATGATTACGATTCCAAATGATTTTAAGAGTGAAATAAATGTGCTATTTACCTCTTTACTCGGAGAGAACTCCAGCAGTAGATTACAAAGAGCAGAAGAAGCAACAGTCATCATGTTATCAGAGGCGTCCTGTAATAGCTTCATAATTGGCTTCCAAACCGCTGTGTCCTGGAAACTAGTTCTTAGTTGCTGGACAGAGCGTGAAAGACTGTGGAGACACTTCACTGCCGCTAATTTGACGTTGGTATTGGGGTCTTCCAAACCAGATACCACGTGATCCATTGTACATTCGATCTCTATTATCTGCAATACAAGCACTGTGGTTTAGTCAGGACACT